TTTGAAGAAATGACACCACGACTTGAAACAATACAATTGATGATCAAATATAATCTATTTAATGTGAATGTGGACAGCAGTGACATTATAGTAATATGTTTTTAATTGGCTGGTGTGCACGTCCTCATGACTAAAAATGCAAGGGTTTGTTTAGTAAATTTGTTTTTGCTGCACTTGTTAGATTGGCATAGAGACTTCCAAAAATGAATTTACAGAGCCTGATAAATTATGTGACACACAAAAACAAGATCCTCTAAACAACTGACAGAGGATCTGAAAATGAATCAATTTAATGCTACAAAGCAGGGGAGAATATAATAATAATAATAATAACTGCATTTGTATAGCACTTATCTAAACAAAGCTACAAAGTGTTTCACAGGAAAATTATAAAAATCCATGGCTAGAAGAAGAATACATTTAAATTTAAAAAATGTAATTCAGTCAAATTTTTTGAGCCACAGAACAGGTTGTTGTAATGAAAATAATAACTTAAATTGTACCTTGGTGTAATCAAGTATTCCAGCCTATTAATCTGAATAGCRTTGAGAAAGGCTAAAAGTAAATCTGACTGGCTACTGGCTTGTATGGCAGTGCTGTGAAAGCCATGTGGCCCACTCAGTAGACCAGATGTCATTACCTCAGTGCCTTTTTTATTCTCYTTATGTATTTATTTGTTTTTAAACTAAATTGAACTAAATACCTACTCTCATAGGTTGCAGAGTCAGAAGCTGCCATATTAACCCAACAGTTCCCACAATGAGCAAGCTCTTTGGCGACTGTGGAGCTGAAAAACTCCCTCTTTAACTGGGAGAAACCTCTGGCAGAATCAGACTCAATGTGGGCGGCCATCTGCCTCGACCGGTTGGGGTGAGTGAAGAGAAATGGGGAAAGAGTGTCAAGCACACGACTCGGAGGAAGGATCCGGATGCAGAGTTAGGGAAAAAACAGCTGATGCAGCTGTTGTGTTTATTCTCACAAAAAAACAAAGACTGAAAAARCAGAGGGCGCCTCGATAAAGAGGGGATGATTACAAAACGTACAACTCAAATATCCTACCTTCCGTGAAGGGACAAGGGAAAGAAAAAGAAACAACACTTAACTAAGGTCAGATCTAAAGGGGGGAAAAAGGCTATGAAAATTAGTTACTAAATCAAATCACCTCCTGTGAGGGAATTAACTATAAACATTAACAAAAAATCAAAACTCCTACAATGAGGGACAATACTTCTTATATAACTATGAACAAAAAACTCCTTCGAAGTGGGACAAGCTATGAACTAAAATAAAACTCCTACCACGAGGGACAATACTTCTAATATAAAGATAAACAAAACTCTCCTCCGAAGAGGGACAAGATCTAACAATAACTAAACTACACAAGCAAAAGAAGCTTTGAAAACTTAAAGGCAAACGGCAACAAAACACTCTTTACGAGGCAACCGACTATAACTATGGTTCTTTGACTTAAGGCTGGTGAGACTCGAAAAAGGACAAGACACACTGGCACAGGACAAAGGGAAGACGCAGACTMTAAGCAAACTGTGTGATTACTTAGTTAGTAACGGTTTGTTGAACAAATTCCGGTCAGGATTTAGAATCCGTCACAGCACAGAGACAGCACTATTGAAAGACCTTTTTAAGGCATCAGATGATGGACTTGTCTCTGTACTCGTCCTGTTGGATCTTAGTGCAGCATTTGACACCATAGATCATAAGATCCTGTTATAGAGACTAGAACAACATATAGGGATCAGAGGAACTGCAYTAGACTGGTTTAAATCATAT